AAATTTTTCAGTGTTTTTGGGGATTTTTTCTGGAAAAAAAGTGACCATTTGGGGCCCCCAAAAAAGCTTTTAGTGCCAAACCCCACAGCAATAAGGGTGGAATTTTATAAGATGAAAAAAAAATTATTGTAAATTTTGAAAGTGGAAGGGGCGTGCTTTCCCAGCTGGCCAGGTTTTTATAATAAACCCCAATCAAACCTTTGCTTTCTATTGGTGGTACAGATGCTGCTGCTGCTGTAATCACCGTTAGCTGCGGCACGTCAGCTGCTGCTGCTGTTGTACCCCATCCCGTGCTGTGCTGCTGCTGCTGCTGAGTACCGTCTGCTCTTTCTGAATATGCTGCTGCTGCTTGTAGCATCGCTTTCTGCTGCTTTTAGCCAAACGTTGCTGGGTGCTGTAGCAACGTTGCTGCTGCTGTAAACATGCCCGCTGCTGCTGTAGCATGTCTGTTTCTGCTGTTTGCAACGTCGCTGCTGCTGTAGCACGTCTGCTGCGCTGTAGCATCGTCTGCTGTGCGTAGCATGTCGTTGCTGCTGTAGCAAACGTTGCTGCTGCTGTGCATCGGCTGTTGGGTGCTGTGATTCTGTTGCTGCTGTACATCGTCGCTGCTGCTTTAGCATCGTCTGTTGCCGCGGGAACCCCCCGTCAGCTGCTGCTGCTGCTTTCTGTAAACATCGTCCCGCTGCTGCTGTAGCAAACGTTTTGCTGTGCTGTAGCCCTCTATTGTTGCTGCCTTTTAGCTCGTCTCCCGCTGCTGTAGCATCGTCTGTTTTCTGCTTTTAAACATCGTCCCGTTGCTGCTGTACCACCGTCAGCTACTGCTGCTGCTGTAAAACACCGATTTTTGGTGTGGGGTTATTGAGAATAAACCCAAAAAACAATTTAAACCCCCGAGGAAATTTTCCACCCAGGGGTAACCCAAAAAAATCAGTGTCACGAAGACTGTCTAACTTATTTTTTTATTGGGGTCCTTAAACTTGCTCCAGGGGTGCAAACCCACCCATCCCACTAACCCCAGGTGAAAAGGGGAAAAATGCCTGGAACCCAGTGCTCATAATTTTGGGGAAATTTAAAACCAGAAAAGGTTGGTTTTTAGAGATTTAAAAAGTAAAAGGGGATACACAGTGTGATTTTAAAGGGCCCTTTTTGGAAGAAAATGCCAAAAAGGACCTACAGTACTCAGGAGGAAAAGGCACTCCCAGACACAGTGTCTCATCAGTCATGCTGCATCTTTAATAAAGTAAGTGTCATTTATTCTTCATTTAGTAGAGTAGTACATGCACAATATATATGTGCATGTACTACTCTACTATTGTGCATGTATCCTTCTCTTTGTGTGTAGGAAAATGTATATTTCACGTGGTAAAATTTTTTTTTTCATACTTTGGGTGTCTTGCACGGATTAATTTGATTTCCATTATTTCTTATGGGGAAAATTCATTCGCATACGAACATTTCGCATAACAATCAGCCCTCTTGCACGGATTAAGGTCGCTATGCGGGGTCCACTGTATATATAAAATATATATATAATATAAATTATATAATATATAATATACTATATATATATATAATATAATATATATACACATACTACATACATACATATACATACATACATATACATACATACATATATACACATACATATATACACATATGCATGCATGCATGCTCCACCTTCCCTATGTCACTTCTGTTTTGTAAAAATCTCTCATATGCTAGCTTTTTCTCTTACCACACACTACCCCATTATTCTGCCAATCATTCTTCTTCCCTTCCACACCCACTCTCATATCCACAAACCTCTGCTGCACACACTAACTCTACATTCTAAATTTTCCCCATATTTCTTCAACTTCCTCTACATTACCTATACTCTCACTAGCTGTAGTTACCACAAATTCTTTATTATTTTTTATTATTTATTATTAATTACTGTATCACTACTACCCATGTGTACTCGAGTATAACCTGACAGTATGTATGAATTGACCCCTGACCTTTTTTCCTCGTTTAATTTTTATTTATTTTTTAACTTTTTTTTTTTTTTTTTTTTTTAATTTTTCATGTATCTGGTGTACAAATTCACCTCAGTCAATGAGGAAATTTGAAAGGAGCCATACAACCCATTCTAGACAAATTTGGCAAAAAATAGTGATAGAATGATTCCTGAATTTTACACCAGTTCTGCTGCATCAAAATTAGCTGATACCCAGTGATATAGATGACAAGGGATCACCTAGTAACGGTGAGGAAAGGAGGAGGTACACTCAGAAAATTAAGGTACACAGTGAACTTGACAGAAATCTTTGTTTTCACAAATGAGCAACAGGCAGTACCAGAGATATAATGTGTAAACTGCATCAATGTACTTGTTGCATCAATGGGACTTGATGCAGCAAAGGCAGTGGAACCAGATGGAACGTCACCAAGAATATCAAGAGGTGAAGTGCCAGATAACTGGAAAATAACAAATATGGTACAGTGCTAGTATTAGAAAAAGGTGACAGGCAGAGCCCTGAACTACAAACCAAATTGATGGATCGGTGTTTGGCCCAATATTATTCCTGGTATTTATAAATAATTTGGTTACAGGAGGGATCTACATATTTGTGGGCACTGCAAAAATAATGAGAATACAGTTTGAAGAGGATGAAAGAAAGCTGCAGGATGATGTAGATAGACTTCAGGAATAGTTGGATAAGTGATTAGTGGAATTTAACCCTAAGAGAAACAAAGTTATAAAGCTGGGAAAAGAAGTCTAAAACATCAAACATCTCTTGAAGTGCTTATAAGCAGAATATTATCAGCAGCACAGAATAAGCTTGCAAGCATTAGAGTGGAACTTGGGAGCCTAGAAAAACTTTGAAAAGACACATACCTTGTATAGGACCCATTCTAGGTTATACGACACTTGTGTGAAACCCTCACCTAATACAACATAAATCGAAGCTTGATTGAGTACAAAGGGGAGCATCAAAACTGGTGCCTGAGCTGAGGGAAATGAGAGGAGAAGAAAGAATTTGTGAATTGGACCTTATGTTTCTGGTGGAAAGATAAAAAGGAGATATGATACATATATTAAGTACATAAAATATTACAGGCAGAGAATGGGTAGACAAGGATAGAATGAACAAGAAAAAGGGACATAGGAAATTTCACCAAATGAACCACAGGGGTCTTTTAAGTGTTTCTTCAGTGTAAAAGTGGTGAAGTGGAGTAAGATGAGCACTGACACGGTGAAAACAAGCTCCTTATATGGGCTTAAAAATAGATATGACAGTGCTCATTCAGGTCATTCAAAGTTAAGACGAAGGACCAAGAGCTGGAGATCACCCATATTTCCCTGGCAAACTTGACTAAGCAATTAACTGATCAGTGTGATAGTGTGTTCTGGCTGTCAACATAACTATTGTACGTAGTTGCATTCATTTGAAGTAGGAACATTTAATTAACCTTTCATTTACATAACACTTGTTTGTTCTTGTTTTAAAAACTGAACTTTTTCTTACCAGGTCATATGTCACCTGACATAAACATTAATGATTCATTCTGTATATGGTTTTATATATTAACAAAGAGTTAACACTTATCGTTGATATATTACTGTGTTATATACTGTACCTAGATCACAATGACAATTTTTCTTGCAGGATGGAAATTGGTTTCTCTCAAGATACTTTATTGGTGTTTGAAATTCTTTTAATTTTGTGCAAGTACTGTTAAATTTGTTGTCTTGTGGCTAGCCATATTTGTCCCTCTCTTTTGGCATTGTAAATAAACATTAGCATGGTTTTCTTTGGCTTTTCATGACACTACTTACACTATCATTTTATAAATTACATTATGACTTTAAATTTTGGAAAAAAAGAAATCTGTTGATCAGTGTACAGCCTCTCCTCACTTAACGACAGAGTTCCGTTCCTAAGACTGCGTTGGTAAATGAATTCGTTGCTAAACGAGAAGTATACTATAATGGTAGAGGATTTGTGTCGACAGTCTTTGATATTGCTTTAATGTCACCCTTACACCATTTACAACATTTTTAGCATATTTTTAAATGTTTATACAGTAGTGTACTGTATATTGTAATAAAAAGAATAGAGGAAATCAGCTCTAATATACATTATTTTGGTATGCATACTGGTCAAAGAGCCTGTCGTAAGTCCAAGTCGTCAGTAAACGATTATGTCGCTAAGTGAGGAGAGGCTGTATTGCTATTTCAATAGTTTGCTTACTAAATCTTTCTCTTCTGTAATTATTGGAATCTCAGTTAAACATATTCTATAAAAATAAGAATTAATATATTAAGTTTTTCAGGACTACCTAAAATTTTGAAGGGAAGATAAATTTGATTAAAGTTCCCTGGTTTGCATTCAAATTTCTGTTTTAATCTGTTAACATTTCTTGTTGAAGAATCAGTATTTATGATAAGTTAGTTATACATAGACAATATTTGTTGCAATGACAAAAAGGGACACTTCAGGTTTTGCTGTTTAAAATTTTATTTTTGTCTGGTCAGTGTTGTGTATGTTTGGTCATTGTTTTGTATAATGCTTGGTCACTGTTGTGTGTATAGCTATTACTTGATGCTTTACAAATATTCTTGAAAATAGGATATCCATTGCTTTTTTTTGTGTGTGTGGTACGTAGTCTATGCAGTACTGGATTTGAATTTATGCTAATTGGTAATTTCTTTGAATATACTGTATGAAGCACTGTAAATATTGGCACTTTTAGTTTACTGTCTTCAAATTTTTTGATTTTCATATTCATGGGTTTCTTGATCCATTTTATAATTAACTTAAAACAAATGTTCACCATCTTGAATAGAGAGAGATGAATTTCACTTAAATATAACATATTTTATGTGACTATCGTTGTGAAAATTTGTTTTTGCTGCTTAGTCTGACAATAAAGTTTTGTCATACCTGCATTAGTTATGAAGAATTGATTCCGAGAAGGACCCTTGTGGCATGCCACTTTTCACTCTCTTTCAGGAGGACCAGTTACCATTGATGTGCACCATTTATCGTCTCTTGGTAAGCCAAAAGCCAAGCCAGTTTAGTGAAATATACACCTCCATCTGACTGGCTTCCATCAAACAGTTGTATTAAAAGAAGGTTTAACATTGGTCATGACCTGGTGGAGGTAATCTTTGTGCATTTGTAATTATATATTGTTAAAGGAGGGATGTGTTTCAGGGACCCATTGGGAAAGCTAGCAGATATAAGCTCTTTCTACGGTATTAAAGCTTGGACTAGGGCTTAATTAAATATTTTTGATTGACTAAAGTACTTTAATTATTTTCCAGCCAATATTGTGCCAGCAGTTGGCATCCCTATATCACAGGTATGTACACTGTTGCTAATAAGTGTATTTTTAGTGTTCTTTAGCTGCTGTAGTGCCATCTGTGCTGTGCAAAGATGGTCTCGGCAGATTATTCTTGAAGAAGTTCTCCTGCTTATAACCACTTTGTGCTTCCTTCCTTGCTTTTCTCCATTAGTACTATTCAAAATATGAATATATAAATTAACTTTTTCTCTTTTCTAGTCCTCTAGTATCTCAGCTGTTTGTGTTTCAAGTAGTATTTATATTTTCAGTTGAGAGACTAACTGAATGTTATGTCTTCTTCCCACTGTAAAGTTTTACACATTACAGCATCATTGTAAATGCAGCATGTTAGTGTGATTCTTGTTTGGATACTAATCTCTTTAAATTGTACATGCATTTATACTTTACTCTTCATTTTTTTTATTATTTTTTTTTTTACTATTTGTATTTGTACATTTTTTGTGCATGTCACTCAGATTATAGTAATGTTGCTGCTGTTGCTTTTTCATCATCTTGAGTGCAGTGAATTTTAACTTTAGTGCAGCTTGTCTGGTAGTGACATACCATAGAAGTTCCTGCACACCTGTTACATGATTCCTTCAGTAGAGGAATGCTTATTAATAAGCAAGAACTTTTTTCTTAGGGTAGAAATGAGTTGATAGTTAAAAGTAAAAGTTGTTTGTAGGCCTAGTTGGTGCAGAGATCCTGAAAAATGCATATTCAGCAACATGATTGAAAAACAGCTATATACAATACTATAATTTGATTTGTGCTGAAAACTGAACACTAATGCTGTAATTTGTGAAATGCTTCAGAGTAACGCACAAAACCCTGGGTATCTGTGCTGTGGTGGGCAAACCCATTGCTTTTTAGGAGAGGCCCAGCATCGAGCCCCATCATTGCACTAGCAGTGGCTTCTACGTATAAGCATGGCGTGACCTGTCTGGTGTGTTTATCAAACAGTTTTGGATATAATCATTATCCTATCATGTCTCTTGGATATTAACTAATGCACCTAAAAGGAATATTAGTAATGCTGGAGGTGTCAAGAAGAAAATTAATCATGAATCTCAGATGATATATAAGAAAATTGAGGTACATACATGTATTAGGTTTACCTTAAGCTGCAGAGGTGAGAGGCATGCATGGCTGGTAACCCACACTGTAATTACATTTTTACATACCTTTCACTGTCATTTACCTACCTTAGCTATATTTATACAATTGTTGAATACATTGGTGATTGATAATAATGTGAAAAAAGTTATTAAACAAGAAATTTGGTGTAGTGAAGGCATGATCTTTACTCTTGCATAGCTGTTGCTGTTGTTTAAGCTTTTGAGGGCCTCCACAGCTTATGATGTTATAAGGTCTACCTGGTTTCTATGAAATGCTAGGTGGTGATGGTAGTACTGTCGTGTTGAGTTGTGCTTCCCAGTTTCCGTGGAAGGAATACAAACCCAGCAAACTCAGCAACCTATTAAGCCTTAGAAATGGTAGGCGGCAGTAGTGGTGGCTGATACTGCCTACTGAACCTTTTTTTTTTCAGATATTGTACAGGGCCATGTTAACCATCTCCACACACTTGCATTAAAAGCAGCAGTAACTTGAAGGTAAAATTCTTATGAATTATTAGCCTATTTTAAAAACTATTTGTTTTAGGAGCTCCAAGGAGCATAACCCTATTTTTTCCTATGTTTTTTGCTTTGAATAAAGTTAATTTTTATCATTAATTGCAATATTTATAGATGTGCAAAAATAAATGTCCCAGGAAGGAGTAAGATTCAATGTGAATGACTCATTTTGTTGCACAGAATTGTTTAACTCGTCAAATCATACAGTAGAATACATTAGAAGTACTAGGTATTAAAGTGGAAAACAAGAATCTAGTAATTATCTTCGTATATTCCTTAGCAACAACTGAGGAATTCACAGAACTGATAATGAAGCTTAGATAATTACCTTGAAAAACCTACACAATTATCTTGCAGATTTCAACCCTCCAAATGTGAAATGGAAGTTGGTAAATAACGTTGCTCTAGAAATAATGCCTAGAAGCATTTTAGCCCAACAGATACAGTGGACCCTCGGATATCAGCCGTTCTGGATATCGGCCAAATTGGATTTCGGCTGCTTATTTGGCCGAAATTCTATCCTAGATTTCGGCCAGCAACTCCAAAATCAGCCGTATGGGACACTTCCGCACGCCACACATTTCGTTATAATCCACTGTTTTTGTGATTGTTTATTGAGTGCGACTGCAAAATAAGCCACCATGGGCCCAGAGAAACACGTTACACAGTATATAAAAACATGCAATGTTTATATGCGATGTTTTTTTTAATAATAATCACTCTTGGGCACATTAAATGTCTTATTTTAGGTTAATATAGATATTTTCATTAATCCATCTTATGATATTTTCTTCAGAATTATTTAAGAAACAAGTTACATAGTATATAACATATAAATATAGCATATAAACATGCAGTTTAATGTATTATTTGTTAATATATTTTTTGTTAATATTTTTGGGTATGTGAAACGAATTAATTGGATTTACATTAATTCTTATGGGAAATATTATTTCGGTTTTCGGCCTTTTCGGATTTAGGCCGACCTTCTGGAACAGATTACGGTCAATAACTGAGGGTCCACTGTACTTACCAGAGAGCTAACAGGCTCTGGAAAGTTTGCCATAAACTGTCATATAACAGAACCCACTAGAAATGAAAACAAACTTGGCTTGATCTTCAAGAACAATTAGGAAATAATCAGAAACATAATATCAGATGCTATATTCTAGGATCACAACCTCGTAGAGAGGCAAGTATAAAGTCAGGCATGGAGAACTCCAGAAATAGTCATTGAGAAGGGATATCTAGTAAATTTAATTCATATGAAAATTGACAAACAAAATAAAGAAATAACTATTAAACATTCCTGGGAAACAATTCTGAACTCCCTAAATGCACACCAGTGCATGGAAAAGTTAAATACAATGAGTATTAAAGTGAAAGAAAATATGAGTATTGAACTTTTATAGAGTAGAAACTTACATTCATATGGGCCAAACAGAAGAAGCATAAAAGAAATTTCAAGAAACCCTCTAATATTTCTATACATGTATGAAATACCAGTGAGAGTTCCCTGTAGAATTGGCCAAATACTCAAAGGAGGTTCATACACTGACAGTGAGAGAAATAAGGAAAACTTTAAAAAAAAAAAAACGGTATGAATTGCTGCTGAGCAATCCACTAAATGAAACTAGTGATGAATACAAAATATTTTTAATCATGTACTATGGACTACCCTACAAATCACGTATATGACGTGAAGTTCCTTATTAATAAAGAAGTGCAAAATACCACTATCACGAGCACTTGGTCTTCTTTGGAGACAGAACTTAGATCTAGATGAAATATCAGAAAACTTAGAAAGTGCAGACATAGGTCTGCACTAACATCTTGCATCATCAAAATCTTTGCAAAAGGTTATGTGATGCTAAATTACAAATTTTATAGAAAAAACATAATCCTGCACAATCCAAACCAACATGGATTTAGAGCAGAAAGATCATGTTTGTCATAACTGTTGAACCATTACAGTAAGATTGAGGCTTCAGAAAATCCAAATGCTGATGTGGTCTACATGGATTTTACTTATACATTTGACGGTACACTTGGAGTGGTAGCACATAAAATGGAGTCAGTCGGTATAAAGTGAAAGATAAGTAAATGGATATTACATTTTCTGATGAATAGAATGAAGAGTAGTTAGTTTTAGTAGCAAACAAAACAAAAAAATCTAACCTTTGCAAAAATAAAAAGCTTAGCACCACAAAGTGCACAGTCCTGACTCCTTTACTATTTACCTTCCTCTCATAGCAGATATGGATGAAAATGCTTGCCACAGATTTGTTTCGTCATGAAAGTCACCTGAAACGAACAAGTTTATTTTCCAAGATGATACACTTTTATAACAGGTTATCAAACCTGGGATGGCCCGCAGTTATGCAATAAATTTTAGGCAGACTTAATATTACACACACCTTAAAGTTAAATGATAGAACAGTCTGTTAGGTTATGTAACTGCTCAGTGTAACATAATTAAGTTGTATGAAGACAAGGTGAGATAATTAAGTACCATAGGGTACAATAGTCAACCTAAGTTACAAAACTTTGATTATTAAAACACTTTAAATGAAGGGATAATAAAATAGAATTTTTTATTGGGGTAGAAAAATAGTGAAGACTAAGTGCACAAGTATGAAAACTGGACAAAACAAAAGGCTTGTTGCAGTAGATATGTTTGATGTTTTTATTAGATTATTATTGATCACATAAAGTAGTGGAGGAAAGAACTTTTTAACAAATACTGTATTTTGAAGTTGTTGGCAGATGGGGGAACATATAGAAACTTTTGGTTGGTCGTTCTTCCTGATTTTGGGACCTATTATGTACATTGAGGTTCGACTAGTTGAGTCGAACACGTGGCATTGAAGAGGTGTATTTGTTTTTAGTGTTGTGTGTATGCATTCTGTTGCAGCTTTCTAGGAGCTGTAAAGCTGGGTTTACATTCGTATTGACTGTCTTGCATACACATTGTATATAGTATAGTCAGGGATTGCTTAACGACTGGTATATGTGTTTTGAGAAGTGAATCGTCAGCAGATAATGCACCATGAGCATTCCTCTATTAATGAAAACCTTTTGGTGTTGGGGTCCATATTTTCAAACTTTTTAAGGAGCTTGTTGAGGTGTGCAAAATCTTCTGCTAAACCCTTCACCATGAATTTCCTTTGGGGTTCTTTTTCCTCTCCTGCAGTTTCCTTTTCTCTTGACTCTTCTTCAGCTATGGCAACATTAGCAGTGGATTTTGTATGTTTAGGGGCCATGATGAACAAAACAACACAAGATTAAATCAAGCACAAGGGAAAATGATGCCATAAAGAAATGCAGCAAACACGAGATGTATGAGGCTGCTACTGGCATAACGCCCCATACTGTTTTGCAGTA